CTTTTCATTCCACTAATTTATTCGTGTTTTTCTCGTTGCCATGTTCCCACCAATCACGTAGCTCCTTTTTCTGCCTTTAAAAGCACACACAACCCACAATTCACCTATTCGCTCCGACGAAGGGCTAACGCTCGAAACGTCAGCTTTTATAATCGTAACGGTGGCCAATTTACCATTTCAATTTTGTTGATATATTCAAATTATTTCGTTACCCCCACCGACGCAGCCCCAAACAGTTTCTTTAGAACTATCAGCCTTTAAACATTACTTAGTTTTACTCAGCTCGATTAGTATCTGAGTAAATCTTACCTTTCCTGTATTACTAGTTGTGAATTAAGTTTAACTTTTATTTTTGGTAATAAAGCTGGTGTGTTGTCTAAGTCCGAACTTCCGTTAAACAAACCTTTGCGACGAACCAGTTTTCCATTTCTGACTTAATCCAATCACTCACACGTTTCATAAGGTCCAAGACTGAGGTTACCGCAATTAATGTCAATCCCTCACACAAAAAACTACCGGTCGATATATTTTTTTCTGCGGTTTTCACTCAAATTTTGAACCCGAAACGTCGTCTTCATGGGTTAAAATCATAAAGGATTGAAGCAACTGCCGCCATTCGTTTACTTTTCGCTTGATTGTCTGAAGTCACTAAGGGGTTTTGCTAAAAGCAGGCCCGCGGCCCAGCGGCCCGCGGCCCGCGGCCCGCGGCTCACGGCCCGCGACCCACGGCTCACGGCCCGCGACGGTTCAACGGCTTGGCAGGCCGAAGGCCCAGCGGCCCGCAACGGCCTGCGACCCGGAGGCCCGGTGGCCCAGTCTTGATTTTCCAAAGTTTTTTCGTCCAAGCGCATGCACAGATCTGCATCGGGTTTGGGCGTGCGAAACGGACGACAGTGAGTTTGAATTCGTTAACCATTTGATCACCGATTTGAATCCATGTTTCTGTTTGTTGAATTTCTTGATGGCGGGGTTTAATTTTTCACTTTTCGCCTTGATCGAAAAGTGTTCCTTTTACACTCGATATAATGTACCGTATTTCTTCGCCCAACCTCAAATAGGGAGCTGCCTCCTCGATGTCCAGCAACGTAACGTCGGGAAATCGATCGGTCGCAGGACTGAGAAGTAGATTTCGCTTGTTGACCTTGGTGACAATGAGATTGAAATCGAGTAAGTACCACAAAGAGTTTCCTTCGTAACTTACAAAAACTTTCAATGAACAGTTAAAATTCTGCTATCTGCTAAAAATGGTGCAAATTTAAGAAGTGCCCAGCCTCGAATAAGGGCCCACCGCCCTTGAGGACCAATAATTTAATAAGCGCCCAGGGCGCTTATCGTATTCGAATAAATACGGTACTTACATCGCCGGAAAGCATTGTTTGAGAACACGCTTTCCTTTTGGGGTGGACTTCCTGTAAATAGATCGACATGTCTCTGTATAGGAAAGATTCCCAGTTCACATATCGCATTGCTTAAGATATTTTCACTTTCAAAGTATGGTTTGAAAATAACTTTCAGCGTTCGATAATGAAAGTCCTCTACTGTGCTATCGGTTTCTGTAGAGAGATTAATGAACAGAGAATCAAAACGTTTTTATCTGAACAATATGCAACAAACAGAAACATGGATTCAAATGATTAAGAT